TGACAGCAGTGTCAAATTTATGTGTAGAAATGAAAGAAGAAATGTAGAATAATTGAGGATGCACAATGAAAATAATTACTACTTCATATTCAGTTCAGTGATTGAAATGTACAATATCGAGAGTCAGATTATATGGCATGACATGACAACACACAGAGAGGTGAAGATCAGACAAGGCTGCATTTACTCATTCACTCCAAGCCCCAGTTCTCTTCATTCAGGATCTCAGTGCAGAGGACAGCGCTTCTGGATTGTTGTTCTGCAGGCAGAGTCCAGTCCCAAAGTGTGGGGAAAGCACAATTCTGGAATGTAGGTCTCACCCTATATTTACATGGCTGTGAACTACTTTATGGCTCCTTTCATGTAGCAGAGGCTTCCTCCCACTTCGAGAATGGCTTTGGCTTAGGTGAGGCTAAGATGTGTTACAGTGTTTACTTCAGGCAGGTGTAGCTAGGAATAAAATAATGTGACTGCACGTGGAATGATTTGCCTTATGGCATTTTATCATTGATGATAGTCCAAAAAGCTACAAAACAATCACTCCACCTCAAAATTAAGGCGCTTCCAGTTATGGCTTCACAGATCTTTTCAGGTACAATTCCTTCCTGGTTTTGTGAAATTATTATCAGCCTCTATTTTCAAAAGACAGGTGCCTGTGACAGATAGGTCAATATCTCCAGGAACCAAACTGAAACAATGAAAGGTAGGCACTTAAAAAAAAAAAATCCCTCACAAAGTCCACCTAAATTGTTCAGTATCTAAATATTTTTCCAAATCTATGTCATGCTCCCTAAATTCACTTGAGGAGATGCCTATGTGGTCATTCTCACAGTTGTACGTGTCCCTTTGGAAAGCTGCTGGGGACAGGAAGCCTCCTGTGCATCTCTCAACATCCCTGGCCTTTGGTTATTACTAAAAGGTTTCCAGCTGACCACAGTTCTCTTTAGCTCCTGTTTGATCTTCCATCATCATGAAACACCTGCTGGAAGGTCTTCTTCCCCTTTGGCCTCTGACTAATCACATCTATTTTAGTTTCTGATAGAGAGAATGCTTCTTTGTGGTTTAATGGGAGCAGTGAGGGATTCAACAAAGGACCTTCCTTCCACTTTTAGAAAGAACTTTCACCAAAACATAACATTAAGAAAAAAGCTAGAGAACTGCTTACCATCTCCTTCAATCACACGATTGCAATGGAAACATACATCACCAAACAGCTGAAGAGGAAGGAGAAGCAATGAATTTTTAATGTAATGATTTTATTGACAGTAATTTCTCAGCTGCATTTCAATCGCTTTCCTGTTTATTTCAGTTTAAATAAAGGAGAACGATGGCAAGTCTGATTTTGGTTTTCAATTCAATCTTGCATCATCTTATCATCAAAAGTCTTTATAATATTAAAGATGAAAACATTTCCTTACATCTCCTTGACCCTCTACAAATATGGTTTTGTTTTGCTGTTTCCCTCATGCTGAACGTTTGAAATTCAGCAATGAAGAGTCACACACACACTTTTAGTAACCATCCAGCTGAACATCTGTACACCCGTTCAACACACAGCTCCTGCCCGGTGCACGTTCTTGCTCTATCATGACTGCACTGCTATTGCTAACAATGTCATGGCATTTATTGTCTGCAGGGATGCCAGCAATATTTCAATCACCTGCCCTTCGTCACTGACAGATTTAGGATCCATCTGTAATTAGCAGATGCCTTACAACTCCCACCTGTAATCCTCCCTTATTTATCCAAGCAAAGATGTGTACGTGACACCTTGCACTTGGCTTCCAAAGAAGAAAGGTCTATCCATTATGGTGCTGGACTGCACAGTCAAGGGAGTCTGGAGGCAAAAGGTGCAACCCCATGTATCTCTTCTTTAAATGCAAGTGGTCACTAGGTGGTGCCCTCTGACAAATTTTGTCTTTGTTGGTCTTCAGCAAGTGGATGAAAGAGCTGCTCGATGCAGTCTATCTTAACACACAGTCGACTTAGAATTGCAGCTGTAAGGAAGGCCACGCTACACAAAGGCTTTGTGTTAAACCACAGCTCCTGAGTGGCAAATGGTCTTTATGTTCTTGGGAAAACCTGAGTGTCATTAGCTGCTCTGATCTTAGAGGTGTGTAAAAGCTTGAAATGGCTCAACATAAGAAACCCTAAGCTTGAAGAACAACTAGATTCTGATTAGCCCAGCTTTCCTTCATGAATTACCCCCAGTTTTCTTTTTTCAGTGCAAAACTTACCTATAGAGAAACCCATACAAACTGCCTGCAGTGGAACACCTACTAGTTAACTTTATACTCACAGGTGATCATAAGAAACAATCTCTCTCACTTTCCATCTCCCATTAACAAAATCTGTTGGTGAGTTTAAAAATTACAGTTTTCAGAAACATGCAACCTTACCTGATTGTAGTGGGTTTCACAATAGGCCAGGCCTTTTCTCTCGTAGTGACGATGACCCAGGAATGGCTTCTCACATTTTGCACAAACGAAATGCTATGAAGAAAATTAGGGATTTATTTTGGAATTCTTCTAAATAACGGTGGGGTTTTTTTGAGAAAGCAAACAAACAATCCCTATTGAACAGGACCAAAGCCTTCTGAGTCACTGTGCCATCTTGAAAATAAGAATTACAACTACTGTTTTGTGCTTTAGACCACTAAAATAACATTCCTTTTACTGTCTTTTAACATTTCAACCCAAAACTTCCAAAAAAGAAAAAAAAAAAAAGCACTGAGGTGGTTCTGATATGTTATTAATGACAGAATAAAGTGAGATCAAATAATTTTCACCACTGTGACCACTTTCTTGTGAAGAAAGCACTTGCTGCAGGAGAATTTCACAACAAAGACTGCTTGTCTTCATAACTTCAATGGAAGATTAAGAACTAAATCTTGCACATGGACTCGAAATAGGAACTGTCACCTAAACTGCTTTAGAAATATTTACATGGCAAGTAAATGGAAACCACAGAAATATTACAATGCCCACTAGTATTACGTTTGTCACAGAACTTGACGGCCTTTCTGTATCTCCTGCTTCTCACTTGGGGACATTTTCTTCTACATGGACCTTGCAATGCTTCCTTGGACTGCTGATTTCAGCTCTGCAGGCAGAAGTCTTTTCTCAGTGGAAGATCAGACACAAGAAGGTTGAAAATGGGATTAGGAGATGCATTTGCTGACCACTGCTGCATACTTTCCTAATCCTCTCATGGAAACTGATCGGCAATATTCCAGTTAAGTAAGTTAACATTTACATTTGTGAAAGACAACGTGTCAGCTGATGTTTACCTCCACGTGCCACTGTTTGCCCATAGCATTCACCACACGTCCTTCAATTGGTCTTCTACATGCTCCACAGATGGGGACGCCCATTTTGTCATGGCAGGGTAAACAATATAATTCTCCCTTCAGCTCACGAGCATCAGCAGTAAGTTCCTTCCTGTTCAGAAATTCATTAATTGAGAGCATGAATAAAGGAACTCAACAAGTTCAACTCAAGAGCTTCTGTAGAGATCATTTAATTTTTAGCACTTGTTTTAGGAACTGTATTTGTACTACAATAATGTATTTAGCAGCATCAAGTATGCCAGTTCAATAGGATTATTTTTTAAACAAGACTGATTGATTCCACAGAAAACTAAGAAAAGCCAGCTAAGTAGGATGCATCAGATCTCTCTGAAAATAGCTACTGAACTTTTTTCACACAGTTAGAAAGCTGTAGTCATGCCTGGCTTGCATTCTGCCTCTCTTCGCACCAGTATCTTTTGGATTTACATAAATGTAACTGAAAGGAAAATGCACTCCTCTGCATTTTCTCCATGATATCAAACATCAGAGAAAGAATAACATAGCCTGACAATAGCACTGCACAATACTACTGTTGTTTTTCAGATCAGCCTCTGCTATGATCCTGAAATGATAGCTTCCTTTGTAGTACAAAATAAACAACAAATAATGTGTGCTATATCCTACAATGCCCCCTGATCCACGCATCAGTGGGGGATGTAGAAACATGCAGCCACGTATTCTGCAGCTGCAGAAGCTGACAAAATGAGGTGAGAGAAAGCTTAAAAGAAAAACATACTTCGGGCAACTCAAATAAAAAGAAAGAACACAGGCAAGATAATGACTGAAGCAGCCCAAAAAGACCACCTTTCCACCCTTTATAGCAGAAAAATAATGCCAATGACTTTGCTGCCATAAGCAAGTTTGTGCCCACATTTCCTATTTCCTAAGATACTCTGTGCTGCACATTACAGTCTTTCCTCACTTCCCAACAGATCATCTGCTGTTTGAATGGAAGGTCCAATTCTACCACCCCAAGAGACGTAACCAGACACGTATCTAGTAGCAAGGCACTCAGAACTCAGCCCTTTTGCCTCTTGTACAGGACTGGCTTCCACTTTAACGTGGAAGTGGTGAAACAAATAAAACCAGCATTCTCCTGTTTTCTTATGTGGAACTCAAGTTACCCGCAGTTTGCACAGTTGAAATGATCAGGGTGATAGGGATCATTTTTGAAAATGAGGGGCTGCTCGTCAATAATGGCGTGGCACTTCTGGCAAATGTACTTTCCCAGGCCTCTGGCTTTTTCCCTGTTATGGCAGGGACGGCAGAGATGTCTGAAACGACATAAAAGAAGACAGGTAAGTACCAGCACCTGTTACTAGGTAAAAAACAGAAATCAAGCATCTAATAGAAACTCATTTCTATCAGTTCTTTTGTGGAGTAGAATAAAGGCTTTAAAACAACTTCTTTGGTAGGCAAAGCCAAGTTCAGAAGAAGGCATATTATTTTCTGTCACCACAGAAGTATCGTTTGTTCAATTCCTTTCAATTTCATGCCTTACCCTCAAACTCTTAAACATTTAGATTGGAAGCTGGATGGCAAAACTGGCCCTAACTCTGTAAATAACTATGTGTATCACATTAAAAATATGAAATCAATGGCTACGTAGTCTACTTTAAAAAATCCATGAAGGATCCCACTGAAGTGAGAGCATTTATTAATGAATAGGGTGATAAACCCGACTCAAATTGGGAACCCATGCTGGAAAAAGAAACACCTATTTTAAAATGACAATACTTCTGCATCTGATTCATTTCTAAGTGTCTATCACAGTATCCTACCAATCCTGAAACACCACCAGGTAGAAAACACACACTTGACACCTGGTGAAGAAGTAGATCAGTAGTTAATATTTCATGTGCATATTTCAAGATATCCACTCTCAGTTTTATGATGCATTCTTAGACCTTGTTCTCATAAAAGACACTTCAGTTACTCCATCTCAGCAGGAAAGCTGTAGGAACCATAACCTCTACATCCCCCCCCAACTTTCATTTCACTTTCATCATGATCAGTGACAGGAGGAAGGGTGAAGACCCACCTGCCAGCATTCTTGACAAATCCAATATCTGCCAATACTTGTTGGCAGATATCACAGCAGAAGCATTCCGGGTGCCAACTGTTGTTCATAGCTTTAATAACACGGCCAATAATGAACTCACCTGTAGGAAATACAGTAACAGGATGTAAAATACCATGCTACACAAAGTTAAAAGAAGCCTGTGACTGAATCACTAGAATTGCATAATCATTTTTGCTTCTCTCTTCTTCCAGAAAAGGGTATTTTGGAACTGTCATTGACACAGTGTTGACTTCTACTCCGCTATGTCTATAATCAAGCCTTGAAAGGGCTCCAAATTCAAAGCACAACAGAACTGAGTTTGAGCGGCCTTGACCCTACTGCAAGAAAACTGGAGTCAAAGTACGAAGATACAGTAGGAGAATGCACTTACTGAATAGTAAATCCAACACACACAGCCATTTCTGATCTATTGCACAGTCCTGTCCTGTGAGGCACTGAAAAAGTGAGAAAACTACCATTTCGTATTCTCTACTGCACAGCCATGCCAAGCGTGCACATTGTTCTCTGCATACACATTGCAGCCACGGCCCCTGAGCAGTGCAAACACTGCCTAAAACATGTCAAGAGCTCAGCTTCCTGGTGCTGTGAAAGGCTGAATCCTGGCTCTAAAGAGCCTACTAATCAAACAGCTGTCAAAGAGAAGCCATCAGGCAGATAACAGATACCAATGAAATGAAGTCTAGCATGCAAGTCTGTGGCATGCTATTCATTCCCATGAAGTCTAGCTTTTCAAGAACAAAACTGGATGGTCTCTAGAAGCGTAGGGAAAGCTTGAGGCATCAGTGCTGACAACAACCCTGTTGATTTTGGCTACTCTGACTAAATTCAAAAACTGGAAAAGCCCAGTTCCAGGCTGGATCCATGGAGTGCTGCAGGTAAGTGAGCAGTGACCTGGAAGGCAGTCCAGCCAGCCAGTCCCACCCTCCAGCAAATTCACTTTCTTTTAACTCATCTGTTGGAACAAGTCAGTACATAAAACTGATGAGAATTAATAAGATTTGGTGCTCTAAGGACTCACAGTAGAAGCAACAGAAACTAAAGGGCTGTGGCAGTTGGGCAGGAAAAGTCCTCAAGATACATGGTGTAGCTCCTCCATTAACTTGCCAGAGCCCAGAACAGTTTCTGGTCTCTCTGAGTGCCGCAGAGGTGAAGTTCCCTCTGCCAAACTCACCAAAGGGAAGCCAGGAGCAGATCAGTGACAGGAGCAGATCAGCAACAGGAGAGGAACAGAGCCCTGCCATGTATGGACAATGCTGGTATGCAGGAAGAGCTGTGCTTTGTGTTTCAAGGGGTTAGAAAGGAGGATCCACAAAAGTCCTTTCCAGGCCAAAACGTGGTATTCTTGAATCCAAAGCCTTTCTCTCCTGTGCACAGGGCCCTGAAGTTTTCAGCTGTTCGAGGGACAATATTTGAAAACAGCTCCATGGTTATGCGCCCTAAAGGTTCATCGTTGGCAGAAACCTTAAAATACACAACAGGGTTGGTGTCCTTTGACAGCTCTGCTGCCAGAGAGAGGTGGCCCTTCTGTAGCTCTGACAAGCTTTGCTGGCATTCTTCAAATCTCCTCTTGAAAGAATTAGCCAGTTCTTGAACTTTAAATCTGACTGCAAATTGTTCTACTTTCACTTCACCATCTGAAAAACAAATCCAAGAAGAGATTTCCTTAGCTCTACTCACTGTAGCCAGAGATCAGTAGCTTTTGTTCTGTGGAATTCCCAGGGTAAAACAAAGCCCAACAAACTGCAGAAGGTACTGAAAAAACTGTAAAAACCACTCAACCAACTCACCAGCATAATCTGTAGCTGTCCAAATTAAAACATTGTTTGATGTATCAGAGGGCACCAAGTTCATTTCTTTGGTGATGACATGGTTTGCACACACTTTCAGAACTTGGTCCCTTCTCATAAGGATCCTGTAATATTTCTTCTGTGTATGGAAAAGGATCTTAAGCTCTCCAACACCACGCTCCTTCCACTGAGTAGCATCTCTGTCCCACCTGTAAAGTTTCGCTCTCTCTTTGAAGAGAATTTCTTCATCTTCTTCTCCAGACTTTACCTCCACCTACAACACAGCACAGTACTGTGTGACTTCTCCAGACGTCGTCACCAAGAACACTGTTACAATTCTGACATCAGGTAATGCTAAATTATCCAGTGTTTTCCTTTCTAACGTGGTTTTGTACCCACAGCTCTACAGACACTCATCATGCACTGAAGTGAATGAAAAGCCCTGCCTTCTCTAAATATAAGACCCAACAAATTGCAGTGTTTGAAATTCATTTTAGCAATGCAACACTACATCCCCATGCTGCTCAGCAAGTTTTGTGGGTTGTTTTTTTTTGGTGTTTTTTTTTTTTAAGCTATCAAGTGTTCTGGATTATTTCCCAGTAAAATTTTAGGTCTGCTGATGATGTACTAAATAATAACAGCACCGTTAGCATTTCAGGTGTTGCCCTTTTGAAGACTTAAACGATTTAATATGGGCATTTGTCAGAATAACTATCAACTGAAAATAAATGGAGGCCTCACAGCTGCACATCCTCCTCACTTTACATGGACACATTACTCTTTTTAACAGCCTCGAGTTGACACATCTTCCAAAGCTAAAGAAAACTTGAAAGAACGGGAGAAATACGTGATGACCAGCATTTCTGGTGGGAGAAGTGACACTGAAGGAGAAAAAGAGCAGGTGAGGCAAGAAAGAAAACCACAGAAGTCATCATGTGATTAACAGATGAGGCCAGGCAGACAAGATGCTAGAGAAAGAGAAAGACGTTTTGCAGCCTTCATCAGATTAGCTGTTCCAATTAAAGGGCACTACATACTGTTCATCTGTGCACTATTAGTCTTGTTTAACCATTTCACTAACCCCCAGTTAAGTTCTGTTCTTTACATGAAGCCAAACTAGAAGATTACAGTCACTGCAAGCTTCTCAACTTATTGGACACACTAAGGTTAAATACGAAATCAGACATGAACAACTGTGTTAAGCCTTACAAAGTTACATAAGGCTACTTCAAGTTCAACTCATTTTTACTTAAGCTTGAAATTCTTCTACTTCCTAAAAAGCTATTTATTTTCCAACTACAAATGTGAGTTTTCTTAGCCTTGTACATTAATTGTGCTCCATCTTGATTGCTCAGCCATTCCAGAAGCCTCACATCTAGCTTAGAGCAAAAAAAACCCCATCAATTTGGAAGGCTTTCACAGAACTCAAGCTACAGGTCATCAATAATAGAAAAGTCACAGAGTTGTATTGCCATTATTCAAGCTCCCCCTCCACATCATTTTTCACATACACTATGATGAATTCGTTTTTAAACTTTTTGAAGTTACTTGTACAGATCTGTATGACCAACACTGTCTCAAGAAATAAAATATTCAAGTTTGCATCATTAATTGATTTGCACTTCCCCACTGCAAAGCTGTACTAAGATTCAGAACAGCAAGGTGCACCCACACAGGCCGAGTAAAAAAAATACAGAACATAAAGAAATAGACAACAAAGCACAAAAGACAATAAAGGTAAATCTTCCTTTGTTCTACTTAAACCTGCTGTTAGCAGATACACTTATCTGAACACTTTTTAAGTCCTGAAAGTTCCCTCACCTCTGGTAAGGAGACAATTGGCTCAAAGTGGATATCATCACTGTGTACCACCTCGTCATCACTACCACCTTCTTCTTCGTCTGCCTTACTGGCTGGCTGTACTCCAAAAACAGCTGCTCCTGTGTTTGCCCATTTGAAGTTTTTATCTACAATTAAGACATTTGCATTTTAAACTTGTCCACAACAACAAAGATAACACACATTTACATTGTTTAGCAATATGTAGAAATCCGGTGCACAGAGATTTATCGTGGGAAGCACAAATCCAGATGTGTATCTGTACCAGAGGCTTAAGCTTAACTCACCTTTAGAGCCAAAAGCAAAGTCTCCAGAGTTCTTGGAAGCCAGATCCGCAAACGACAAGCCCGAAGCATGACCAAAGCCAAACGAGATGGGTTTGTGTTCTGTCAAAGATGGAGAAGTCAAATGTTTTTCTCTTCCTTTGAGGAAAACGTCTTTGATGTCATACAGTTGTAAGAAAATACTGGAGCAGCTTTCATATTTGCACCCGATTCTTATATTGACACTTTTTATTACAGTCCAAAAAACTGCTCAAGACTGAGTTTCAGCATGCTATTTCTGAGACTCAGCAAGTCCACACAGCTTGAGTAAGTACTCACATGGTATGAAACAATACACTAACCTAAGTATAAATCACACAACTGAGTAGCAGTGGTCTGTACTAGAGTCATCTGAACACACCAGAATTTGATAGGCACAAGTACTTTCATTCCCCTGCATATTTTCACTAGACCAATACTTGTGCTTCAAATTCACTGCTGCATCTGTTCAACGCAATGGCTAAATTAAACTAACCAATACAAAAGCAAACTTAAGGTTGTACACACACCCCCCCCACACACAAAAAGACCCAAACAAACCCTTACATTCTCCCAACTTCACCTTGTGTTGACTCTGAACATTCAGAATCACTTTCTTTTTTAGTTGACAGGTCCACAGGCTTATCATCACCTCCTGGTAAACTCTGTGATACGTGAGCAGTTTCTGTGGAATCTGCCTCTTCACTGCTAGCAGCTGACTGCACAAATACCGCCGCTGCTTCACTGGTTGATGGAGTAGGAAATTCCTCCTCACTCGTACAGACTGTGTCAGCTGAGCGTGTAACTTCACTCTCCTGAGATTAATAAGTAAGCACATAAGCCAGGAGAGCCTAATATTCAGACCACATTCAGCCTGGACATAAGAATAACCACTCCCTACCAAAAAGCCACATTCCCCCTTTGCCCCCCCACCCTCCCACGTAATCAATTTCTTCATTTAATTACAACAGCAGTGCAGAAAACTCACGAGGCTAAGTTCTCAGGCTCCAACTTTCTTAGAGCTTTACTAAGGTTTCAAAATAGGTAACTAACAGGGAATGAGAAGTGAACAGATGGGAAAAAAAACCCAAGAATTGTTGTTGGAAGGTTTCAGACATTCTCCACTATTCTTAACACACACACTCAAATTCAACTTGACAAGAGACTGAAGTACCTTTGAATCAGCATGATTCCAAAACAAGCACCCCTTCTCTTGGGAATTTCTCTGAAATCACTGAACTCTTACACACCTGCTAGGAGGAATTCTACTAGCCAGAGCTGTTTCTACTTTAGGAGGTAAAGCGGTTTCCTTTCTCTCCCTGAGAAATGCAAGCTCTGTACCTTAGTTCCAACGCCAGAACAGACTTGAGACTCAGTCAAACAAGTCAAGCAGTTTTTAATTTGCTGAATTTTTAATTTCTCACTAAGTGAAAACTGACTAAGAATAATGCTGCAAATTTATTGCCAAAACTTTTCATAGATACTTGACTCGTACTTTCTTTCTCTGAGTGTCAGCTTCCTTCTGAGAGCCTTCTGGACAGGCATCTTCCGCATTACTACCAATGCCGCACACAGATGTGGAAGTGACCTGCGCAGTTTCTTCTCCAGCCTTCTTCTCAGGAGGTTTAGTTTCAGAAGTAGTAACACATTCCCTCTCCAATTCCTGTTTGACTGGAGT